GTGGTACCTCCCCCAAAAAAATACCCTCCAATGAAACCGCCATACCGGCGCTTTAACATATACTACATCCAAGCGGTCGATAGAATACATTATTCAGATGATAAATAAAAATTACATTGCATCTATATGATTTTAGAGGACGGCCTTGTAGACGGAGAAGGGGGGGTGGGCATCTTTGTACCAGTGAGGGGTAGCCTACTGTATGGCCTCTGAAGTCAAAGTTTATGACTACGGGTCCGGGTCACCCGCGGGTGCACCTGTGTTATGCCCTGACTGGGCTGTAGTTTCCATTCACGAGTCGATGGATTTGATTCTATAGGCCATCGGTGTTATATATGGGCTATACATATATGAAGTATTGTACTGGAATAAACCATAAGGCAGGTTGGTGATGAAGAAGGTTTTGTGTGACAGGGTCGAATAGTTTTGGCTCCATGTTACTGAGGTCGACAGATTGATGAATAAATTCATTATCATGAATGTATTTGCAGCCTAGCTGGCTGGGTCGCGTGCTAGAGAAGTCGTATATACGGCGGGGTCCATGTATTTTCCTAGAGCACTCTCCAAGGGAAGGCTAGCGGAGAAAAAGGCTAAGATACTGTAGGAATAGCTCTGGGTTTTATGAATTAAACATTGGCATTTGGCTGTCCAGGAGCACGCATTTTGTGCTTAGTTTCCCATCGCAAATACAAATCGTGTTTTTGATTGTCGAATGCTGTCTCATTCAGCGCTCGTGACCGCATATCTACTGAGCTATCACTAATTCGTATGGCTCGGGTGACGACTTTAGTTGGCCAGAGGTTGTGCAAGTGAGATTGAAGGGTCCCACAGTTCGGACGGCAGCAAGCTCCACCGCTTCTACCAATATCTGTCAACATAAATCAATGGAATTATCAAAAATCGAATCTTCTTGACCTACCTAAGACCATGGGTGCTTCACTGTCATCTTCATCGTGTAGCAAGGCGACGGTATAGCGATTTCGTGATGTGAGGTCCACTACGTCCAGTTCGAGACTTGTCGTGTCCCGGGGAATATCTTCCTTTGGTCTAACGTATTCCCAGTATAGGCCACTCCTCGTGAGGTTGTGCTTTCCCCTATGCCTGATCCATATATCCGGCTCCTCAACTTCGTATTTATTGGCAATATACCATATAATTTCCATGTACTGAGCCCAGTCTTGGTCTATTAACAGTCTTTAGTAAGCGTTCGCTTGATTTCCTTTTAAATAATGAGCTACCTATGCGTTCAGGGGCTCTGTTGGGCTCGTCCATAAAGTAGATCATCATTGTCTTTGAGGTCTCGGGTTCAGAAGACCCTGCCATTTCCTTATCGTGGTCACCTTTGTCTGCTTGAATAGCAGGATCCAGTTTGTTTTGTAGTTTACTGACGGAATATGGCTTGACCTGTTGAGTCGTGTGTGAATATGACGACTCATATTTGATTCAGATAAAGTCCACCTTCAGCTTATTTAGGTCCATACAACCACGAATGAGAATCTCTTTCGCCTTGTCATGGTGTCTGGCTGCATTCATCGGGTCTTCCATCTCAAAGGGCCCTAGAGCGTTCAATTCCTCTTTGATCCTCTCTACAACCTTTACAACATGGCTGGTCCTGGAATGAAAAATCAGAAATTAATTATGAGGAGACTATGCTGAGATACGTACGACACATGCGACCCCACGAGGAAATGTCTCGACTGAGATTGGCAGAGGTGCCTTGCCATTTCTCCGAAGACCTCGAACAAGTTGGAGTTGCTCACTACGCACTGAATCTGCACAAGACTGTTTTTTATTTCTTGTGAGTTGACATTATTCGAATCATAAGCGATTAATGTGTTTATGACCTCCTCAAAGGCATTCATAATTCTATCGTTTCGATACTGTTCAGTATGATGGTAAATGAGAGACTATACTCGCACCTTTTGAGTTCCTTGCACATTTGAAGCTGCTCTATCTCGTGCTTATTGATGCTAACCAAGCTGACGATGAGGTGTAATAGGGCCCGTGAGATATGGAGACACTGCATCTCCATCAAAGGGAGCTTCAGCACAGTTTTTGTGATTCGCTTTGCTTGAGATAACCTCATTTGAAAGGGAACAGGAGTGGATATGCCTAGCTGAGATTTTGTTTGGAACTGCTATACATTAGTGGGGTCTCATGGCCCAGCATCGGACTAACCTCAAAGGCTGCATAGGCGAGAGGTAGTTGGGTCAATTTGAGATGTCACCGATGATATATCACATACATGTTCCCGAAACGATATAAAAAACAGTAGGATAACTTTCCATATCCGCCAATGTTGAATAATCGTATGTCCGGTCTTGAATGGTTTCGAAACTACCGTAAATTTGGGCTGACTGTATGGCGAGATTCCTGCTCCCCATAGTCGTCCTGATGTTTCTCAATATGTGCACATCAGTTGAGAATGTGGCCTCTGGTAGATCTTCGAGTTGTTACAATTTTCACATGCCCATTGAGACATTTGACGCTACTTACCTAATATCAAAGGCTGATCTTTCTCTTCTGTTCTAAGTAGCGCTATCATGAAAGCTTTGGCACGATCTACGACAAATAGTGTCGTCTCGCTGGCCGATATTCTTTCACCGCTTTTTGGAAATCTCCAACAAGGCCATGGCCCGTAGCTTGAGACCAATAAAGTCGGGCTGCATGCTGTATTATCGTTAAGTGAG